GTCGCTCCGAACGTGCGTACAAGCTACGCACGAGATTCCACTAATGTCTGTGGTGTAACAGTGATCTCCACGACACAGTGGGCTGGCTGTCGAAAGGCAAGGGCAAGTCGGGAAACTGAGCACCGCCGGGAGTGAATCGACGACACTCTCGACGCCTTCGGAACCGGTCGCTTCGCGGGTGACCGCCCTTCGTTCCAAGGCACATGCGGAAGTCGATAGTCCTCTTTTATATTCTTATGAGGACTATGCTGCCCGGTTTGTTTCTACGCTGGGTACTCATGCTGAAGGACAAGACGTGTGTGCGGCATCTTCTCCGTCCGGCAGCGGCGACTTATCGTCTTCTAGTGGTTCTTCACGGGATTCGGCGCGCGAGTTCAACATAGAGGTCTTGGACCCGCTCACGTCAAAGGATTTCACATGGCTTCCTCTCCCGACTACACGGGCCGCTTGCCGGGACCGCAATGCGCAACGTTATGCGCTCATCTTCACACGTATCTATCCTTCTATGCACCACCAACTTCGCCGACGGATGACGAAGTTGCGGTGGGGGACATCCTTGTGTATGTTACCAAGGTGGCCCGCGAGTTTCGCAAGCAGCGACACTCCTCTATGTCCGCATCCAAGTTGGGCAAGCGTCCTGCAGCGCTTTGCTGGATAGCGGCGCGTCTCACAATTTCATGAGCCAAGCCTTTATGCAAAGGGCTGGCCTTGGCGCACAAGTTCGAAGGAAGGCAAACCCGACGGCGATAAAGTTGGCGGACGGAAGGACGCAGCAACTTATCGACCGCTACATCGAGGTCGTACCGGTGTATTTCGCACCTCATGCATGCGAACCGGTGACGTTCGACATTTTGGATACGGACTTCGACATTATTTTGGGAAAACCTTGGCTTGCAAGTGCGGATCACACGGTCAACTTCCACCGACGGACTCTTACCGTTCGGGACGTCTTCGGCGCCGAAGTGGCGTGTACTATTCCTCTTCCGCACCCTTCGATCCGGTGCCAAGTGGTGACGGCCAAGTCGTTCCGGGCTACTTGCGCTTATGAGCAGCCCGACGAGATAGGTTTATGCTTCCTACGGACCGTCGCGGTAGCCGATTCTTTCCCCACGGACTTGCCTTCGGACCCCCGTGTGTTGCGGTTGCTTTGACGAGTTCACCGACATCTTCGAGTCACCTACCGATGTGGTGCTGGATCGGCCGATCTCTCACGAGATCATTCTTGAGGCCGGTGTCGTTGACTTCGGAGAGGATGCGGGGAATCATTTTTGGCTCTCAAAGCCACGCTATTATCTGCGGAGGTCTTGCGAATCTACGACCTGCTATTGCCAACGTGCGTCACTACAGATGCGTCCGGCTATGGCATTGGTGTCATCCTTGAAGTACACGATGGCTTGGACTGGCACCCGGTCGAGTACTTCAGCAAGAAAGTGCCCGTCGTGCACTCCACTGATGATGCATGCAAGAAGCAGCTCCTAGCCTTCGTCCACGCGCTCAAGCGGTCGTGGCACTTCCTCCTTGGTCGAAGTCAATTCCGATGGGTAACGGACAACAATCCGTTGGTCTTCTACAAGACCCAAGACACCGTCAATAGCACTATCGCCCATTGGATGGCTTTCATCGACCAATTCGACTTCTTTCCCGATCACATTCCGGGGAAGTCTATGGATGCTCTTTCACGGCGTTCGGATCATTGTACCGCAATCTATTCGACCTTCGAGATCGACGATGATCTGCGAGACAGTTTCATCCGCGGCAACCAAGTCGACCCCGAGTTTCGTGACAAGTACGCAAATTGCTCCTCTCCTAATCCGGCGCCCACGGGGGAAGGACCTTCTTTGCGTACCGAGTGACTCTCACTTGCGTACACGGCATCTTGGCGAGTTCCACGATGCTCTTGCCACCGGACATTTTGGAGTCAATCGAACGATTGGCCGACTTCGCGAGCGCTTTTGGTGGCCCGACCTTCTCGGCGACGTCACACGCTATTGCGAGTCATGCGAGATGTGCCGACGCAGCAAATCCCGCAACCATCGTCCGTACGGCGAGTTGTGACCATTACCGGTCCCCTTGCGCCGAAGGGAAGCGATTGCCATGGACATTACCGAACCATTCCCCAAGCACAAGACCGGTGTGGATGGGATTCTCACGGTGGTCGATCGACTCACCAAGTTTGCCTTGTTTTTGCCTTGCCGCTATCATGTCAAGGCACCGGAGTTGGTGAAGGTTCTTTACGCCGGTTGGATTCGAACCAAGGGTTACCCCAAGGAAATAGCCTGCGACCGCGACACTCAGTTCATGTCCGATTTTTGGTTGGCGCTCATCAAACGATGGGGCTCATCTCTCAAGCCAAGTTCGGCTCGCCACCCCCAAACCGATGGCCAAAAGGAGAGGGCGCATCAGACCACACAAGTTCTCCTTCGCACTCTCGTCCGCCCCGACCAAAAGGATTGGGTTGAGCGGCTGCCGGATGTCGAGTTGGCATACAACTCGTCCATCCACCTGGCTATCGGGATGTCGTCCTTCGAGTTTGAGCACGGCTCGCCGGTCACTTCTCCGTTGGACACAATCATTCCACAAACGGCCAAGAGCGTCTTTTCTTGCGTCGGATGCAAGAGCTACTTGTCAAGGCACGCGACCAGATGGCTAAGACGCAGGAATGCATGAGCCAAAAGGCCAATTGCCAGCGTCTTCCTTGTCCATTCCGTGCCGGCGATCTCGTTTGGGTTTCCGCCACGGAGTTCAGCCTCGAACATGATATCTCTCGCAAGCTCCTCCCGAAATGGATGGGGCCTTGGCCGATCGTGGCACCCGCTAGGGACGCACCCGAAGGACCTTCCTTCCTCATTCAGGTGCCCGCCCATTTGCCCGTCTACCCGGTCTTTCATTGCTCCAAGTTGCCTCTTTACACGCCAGCGGAACATGATGAGTTCCCCGGGGGCCGATCGCAAGACCCACCCTCTATGGACGGTTTTCAAGAGGTCGGCGACATCATCTCCCAGCGACGCTACAGCAACAGACCGACCGAGTACTTGGTACACTTTGCGTACTGCACTCACAAAGCTGACCGTTGGTTGACCCGTGCGGAACTCCAAGCAACAGCTCCAGATGTTCTCGCACGCTACAAACGCAAGATGCAAGGCAAGCCGGTATCTTCGGCACCACGTCGCACCCTCGTCCAGGTTCCACCTTCAAATCGCCAGCTTCGGCCTCGACCCGGCTTGTCTTCAGAAGGAGGGGGGGTGTTACATGCTGCGCCTACAACAAGGGCCATTTTCAGGCCCCGTGTTGTTTCAGCCTGAAAGCCTGAAAACAAGGGCCTACAGGCCCTGTGTCGTTTCAGCCTAAAACATCTTTTCAGCCTGAAACGGAGGGCCATTTTCAGGCCCTCATAAGATCGACCTGCCCTGAAATTTAGGCACCAGACCAGGATTTTAGCACAGGCCATTTTGGGCCTGTTTTCAAGACAACCTTTGTTTGAGCTTCAACGCCAGGGTCAAGCACGGCATTGGCAAGAGCAGCCTCCTGGACGGGCCAGCACTATATAAGACTGGCCCGCCCTGCAGGCTGCAGGTAGTTCATAGGGACTTCCCAGGCACTTCACGTGCAGTTCAGGAGGCAGGAGGATGTCTTCAGGATTCGGCAGCAGCACTCTGGAGGAGCGCTGCCGTAGTAAAAGTAGTGTTAGCAGTAGCCTTCAGCGCTGGGCGCTAGTAAGAGCTAGAATAGTACTGGAGAGAGAGAGAGAGATTGGGCGGAGGCCGACTTACCTGCATCGCCATAGCTCCAGCTTCGTCTTCGAGGTACCTGCAGCATGGCGCCATATTCAGAGGTTAGTACCTGGCACATGACAGAGAGAGAGAGTTCTTCTTCTTCCTCCTCTCAGTCCACCATCTCTTCATCACCCTCTCACTATCTGACTTCTCGGCCTCAGCAGACTACGAGAGAGAGAGAGAGAGAGAGAGGGTTGGTGACATTTGGATCCAGACTCGACATTGGGCTTCAGACATTTGACGAGGGATTATCTGGGACTTGTAACGAAGACTTGGTGTTAACGATATTCCCATCTTCCCCCTCTTCTTCGTCTGATCTCCTCCTCTTCGTCTGTGTATGGTCTGGACCTGGCGCATTCTTCCTGTGTGTAGCGCCAGGCCCCCTTCACACCTTGTGATGAGGATGATGTATGTTTGGTCTGCATTGCGACATTGATTGGGCTCGTCATTGGTATTGTAGCATTCTGCTACGCTGTCTTGTACTATGTGAGAGAGGTCAGTCCCGGTCAGGTCAGGGCTTATATCTAAGTCTTCCCCTGCGCTATTATGTGCCATTTTTTGTATGTATCAGGATGTACACTGGTTGTTGAGATTCCACTAGCACTGCATTGTCCATTCAGTCCTTTTCATCACATTGCGGATCCTTGGCTATACATACATTGCCCAACTGGGCATGTAACAACTGTGTGACCCTGAGCTTGAGAAAGCAGTTCAGAACGGCCATTCGGGATACATCAGACCTCAGTCTGGTGCTAGGTTCAGTCAAGACTGGATAATAGATTTTGCACAATGCATGGCAGGGAGTGGTTAGGATGGGAGACAAGGTGCTGTACAACGAAGATCTGGGAGGAAGGGATGGTCGTTAATTTCGAAAAAAGAAAAAACAGTAGTTTGGGTGTGTGATAGTGGTGACTTTGGATACAGTTTTTGTAGCAGAAGGTGACCTTGGACTTCGGTTGAAATATTTGTCATTGAATTGCTGAGCATAGTCCAAAAGACATGCATACCATTTCCTATGCTATAGAATTGTAATATATAACTATGGGATTGATTGGAGAAGGTGGGAAAATAGTATGCGAGAGGCAACAGGAACTGTGGTAGCTGGGACCACACTTCACAGTGCACATAAATGAGTCCCATGACAGAAGCTGGAACTGTACAAAAGAGTATTTTATAGAGTCAAAATATTTGTCATTGAAGACTTGGGTAGTAACATCAATGGCTTACCGACCACTGCCATTACAGACACCGCATGGATCCAGCACTCCACTTCTGCAACAAAGTCCATTCTGCAGCATCAGAAGCAGAGAGGTGAATTCAGCCGAGAAGAGCGTAAGCCTGATGGTCGTGCTATACCTTCTCTGAATTGTTCAAATTTTAACAGATGTGTCGAAGGCCTGCTGGTTGTGCTATTATTTAGGAACGAGAGGGCAAAAGGAGAGGAAAGTTCTAGAGGGAAGAGGGAAATTTCAAAACTCCGAAATGCATACATGATACGAGTGTTTTCTTCCGGAAGTCCAAGATCAACTCACTAGGAGCAGTGTGCCACTGTAATTCGTCTGCCCAGATTTTGAAACACGATGGTACTCTCCAAACACGTTACTGCAATCAGACTCGACTTATTCACACTTTGCATGCACGTGAACAGCAGAACGACAAACTGGCGACATGCGCCCACACAGTACACAGAGATATGTCCCCCAGGTAAGTTCGCTTCCACTGGCTATGGCGACTGAGCGCACACACAACTCACTGTTCACACTCTGGATCACCCTGGATGTCCCACACGCAACACTCTGTAACCACACGCAACACACACACACACACTACCGCTATGGCAGCGCTAGCTGCCACTACCCTAGCGCTATGCTACACTCCTCTGCCCACTTCGTCTTCGGGCACCCTGCAGACCTCCTCGCACAAGCTGCTGAGGCAGCGCTTCCGCATGGCTTCCGCAGGAATGAATGAATGGCTGGGCGCAGCCTCTTGATTTATACTCCTACGCTGCGTTGGTCTGCCCTGTACCCCTTGGCCCACGATGTGCACAGTCCCAGACTGTACTTGCTTGACTGGACCGGACAGGGCTAACTGGGACTGCTGACCGTACTAGGTGGACTACCACCACTTGACCACTTGCCTCTGCTGAACGCAGGCTAACTCCGAAAGGCCACTTCTAGAAGTCTCTAACTTGGCCTTTCGGTACTGTAGCAGCTACGACTTTGCCCTTTCAGGTAAGTAGCGGCTACGACCTTGACTCTTCAAACAACCTACAGCTATGACCTCTGAACTGTTTAGACTCCTACCCTACAAGTCTACAGTTCGAATCCCTCCTACCCTATGACCTACGAAAGTCTACCTACCACTGGCGATCCTACAGGTCGCAGGTTCAAATCTATGGGTGGACATCAATACTGTACACAGGTAAGATGGGGAACTTGGGATCGAGCCCTGGGATCTGCACTCGCTACTGCGAACTGGTGAATACCGTCTCACTCCTGCCGGCCTAAATTCGAGGTCCTCCGAGAAAATTTCAGTCCAAGGCAGGACCTTTACCCTTCTGTCGTCTCTCGTAGGCCCGGACTATATCGGGAGCTGTCTCTAGAAATTCAGATCTTGTAAACCAGCGGTCGTCTTCCGGTTCTTGGTAACTAAAATGAACCTTGTACTGTTTCTGCGGACGACCCCTACCTCCAGTTCTGAAGACATGTTCAGCCACTATACCATCGATGTCGTATCTTCCATCCATATCCGGTGGGATCATCGATCTACGGGATGGGAATTGATCACTTGTTTGACAAGGTAACAACTTCGATGCATGGAAAACGAGGTAAGTGTGGAGGTGTGCTGGAAGTTCTATGGTATAGGACGGTCCATCTTCGCCGCCCTTGACTTCTAGAACGGGCCACAACGCTCTATATGTGGGCAGTAACTTCTGCGAGATGTTCTCCTCAGGTGCAAACTCCTTAGAACTGACCAAGACTAAGTCGCCTACTTGGAACTGTGAAGGGCGACGATGTTTGTTCGCTTGCTCTATCATCTTATGCTGGGCTTTCCTGAGGTTCTCTATAACAGTAGCTAGTTCTTTCTCGTGCTGTACAGCAAACTCCCTGGTCCCGGGTGGCAACCTGTGAATCTAATCCCGGTTGAGTCCTTCAAAGGGTCTACGGGGTCTAAAGGACTCGTGCAGTTCGTTGGGAGTGCGACAAGTAGACAGATGCACGCTGTTATTGTACGCACTAGCTACTTTGGGCAACATCTCATCCCAGTTAATCTGATCTGGCCTAATGTACATGCGCAGAACTTGCTGAAGGATCTTGTTCATCTGCTCGGTCTGACCGTTAGTCTCCGGATGACGGCCGGACGACATCAACAACTTAGACCCATATACTCCCACGAGTTCTTGCCAGTTCTGGCTGGTAAAACGACTATCTCTATCGCTAACTATTGATAGTGGGATTCCATTCTYACTCACCCAACAGTCAAAAAATCTTTGTATGACTAAATCAGTACGTGCCTCTGAAGGCAAAGGAACAAAAACTGCGTACTTACTAAAACGGTCAACTATGACCATGACTTGGCTCTTGCCATGCCTACTATTGACTTGAGTGTCCATGAAGTCTATGGACACTGAGTCTCCCGGCTGATCCGGAATGGGCAAGGGTCTGAGAAGACCTAGCGGGGCGCGCGTAGAACTCTTATTACGCCGACAGACTTTGCAACTGCGAACATACTCTACGTAGTCATTCTTCATTCCTGGCCAGGTATATGCGCGCATCAGATTGGCTAACGTCTTTTGCCAACCAAAATGACCCTCTGTATCGTGGCATTCTCCCAAAATCAGACTACGGACCTCTTCACTATTGGGAATGCACAGGCGGTCAAAAACATTAGTCTTCTCAAAAAGCAACCCTTCGGTAGTGCGGTAGTTCGGTTCAGTCTCTGGGGCTTCTTTGACTTTCTTGAGGAGGTCACTGTAGATAGGGTCCTGCGCGTAGGCCTCTTTAACCTTCTGCTGCAGATCCTTCCCTATATCAAGGTAATGTACTATTGCCCCAAAGTAATCAGCTCTTCTACTCAGAGCATCCGCGACTACGTTGTTCTTCCCTTTGACAGGCTTGAGCTCGAAGTCGTACTGATCTATCTCTGCGGCCAACCTAGTAAGCTTAGGTGTCATCTTGGCCTGCGTCTTTAACCATCGTAACGTTTCATGGTCGGAATAGACTTTGAAGTGCCTCCCAAGCAAGTAGTGCTTCCAGTGGTCTAAGGCTTGCCCAAGAGCGTAGAGTTCCCTCTCATAGGTGGATGTCGCGACCTTCTCTGAAGGCATTCTAGCGGACATGAACTCTACGGGTCTATACCCATTGCCATCGTCTTGCTGTAATACTGCGCCTATGCCGTATTGACTCGCATCGGTCGTGACGACAAAGGGCAAGGACGGATTGGCGACTTTAAGGACTGGATACTCTATCAATGCCTGCTTTAACTTCTTCATGGCAGACGTGCAGTCCTTATCCCACTTCCAGATGGTCTCCTTTCTCAACAATATGCGAAGGGGCGCAGCGATGGTGGAGAAGTTCCTCACGAGTTTCCGGTAGTAATTAGCTAAGCCCAGGAACGAGCGCAACTCTGTCAGCGTACGTCGCGTGGACCAATCTCTAATCGCTGCGATCTTGCTATCCTCTGGCTTAACACCGTCTCCGTCTAAGACGTGGCCTAAGTACAAAACCTGGGTTTTCGCCCAATCGCACTTCTTTGCATTGATCTTGAAGTTAGCTTCCCTCAGCTTCTCCAAGACCTGCCTGAGATGACCCTGATGCTCTTCGAGGGTCCTGCTAAACACTAGAATATCATCTAGATAAACTACAACAAATCTGTCTAACCACGGCCTAAACAAATCGTTCATACACCGCTGAAAAGTTGTTGGCGCATTGGTTAGTCCAAAGGGCATCACTATAAACTCATAATGCCCGTACCTAGTCCGGAAGGTTGTCTTATACTGATCATCGGGATGCACTTCTATCTGATGATATCCGGACTTCAAATCTATCTTAGAAAAATACTTCGCCCCCTGCACTCGATCTAAGAGATCGTCTATCCTAGGCAGTGGCTCAGCATTCTTTACTGTAATAGCATTCAGACCCCTATAGTCTATGCACATCCTCAGCTCTCCCTCTTTCTTAGGAACAAAGAGAACGGGCGCTCCAAAAGGAGACGAACTGGGCCTAATCCAACCCTTCTCGAGGAGTTCGTCTAATTGCTTGCGAAGCTCCTCTAACTCCCGCGGGGACATCCTATACACAGCACCCTTAGGAGTTCTACTACCAGGCTCTATCTCGATACGGTGCTGGATGGGCCACGGCACCGTGCCTGTTGGCGGCTCAGTCAAATCCTTAAACTCTTCCAACAACTTGGCAATTGCAGGGTCCATCGACCTTTTTTCTGTAGGCTCAATCACCGACCTAACATAGGCGACAAAGACCTGTTCCTCCAGTTTCTCCTTCTTTACTAATCTGGCGAATGCAGGCGCACTAAGGCAGCAATGTGCCAGTGGATTCTCTACTCCTGACACGTGAAACAGGCAGGCAGTCTTAGCCTCGCCTGAAGAACTAGGGAGCCTACACTCGTGCTCCTTCAAATGGAGCGTGGCCCCGGCTGCCTCTCCCCAATCCATTCCCAGGACAATATCAAATGGGAGGTTGTCTTCTACGAGAAGAGTCAGGGAGTGGAGGACCTTCTCCACTTTCCCATCTTTCTCTAGGCGGAAATATGCCTGGACTCCCTCTACGTAATCCTCTACAACCATGGTACGATTGTCCACGAGGATACTATGGGGTCTGTCAATTTCTGGACTTTAAGTCCCAGCTTCAACTTCTGCAGCGCTTTCTTACTAATATAGTTGCGGGTGGCCACTGAGTCTACTAGGGCCCCTACTCTACTTCTAAAAATCTCTGTATCTAGTAAGATCAGCTGCCCTTTATTTTCCTTCTTCATCTTGGCCCAGGCGGGCCTCCTCTCCTTCAACTCTTCGGCTACACATGTGAGGGAGGTGTCTAGAGAGACCCTAATACAAGCAGTCTCTGAGCAGCTATCTAGACACCGGCCTGCAACCTCTACCATAGGCACATGTGGTGTGGGAGTCTCCAGCCGGCTAGCGCTATGTTCCCCACATGGCCTAATGGTAGGGGCAGTTGCTACCCCTACCGGCGGCTACCTTTTGGCCCTTGAGCAGCCATTCGGGTCTCTCGATACTTAGGACAATATTTGATGATGTGGCCCGGGTCACCGCAAAAAATGCACTGACCCCGGTCCAATCGTTGTTGCCATAAAGTCTGGTCCAGACCCAAAGGTTCCCAAGGCCTACCCTGTGGTAGCCCCGGGTGCCATCCTCCTACCCTGTAGGGAGACCTATTCCTAGGGCGGTTTTGCGGGGGACCTTGACCCCTGCCTCCCACTTGGCGGTTTCCTCCTCTGCCGCCAACCCCCTGATCGCCCTGAAACCGGCTCCCTGAGGCCTGACCCCCTTAGCCCTGGCCTCGTCCTCCTTGCGGCCTCCCTCCAGCCGCGACAGCAGCGTAGGTCCTCCCCTGGCCCACACCGCTGTCCTCCTCTTCTAACCCCCACTCAATCTGATCGTAGGGGATCTCGTCCACACTACCCTCATCTAAGGTTAGGACAAGGCTGTCCTTGGTCTTTACCTGCCCTGAGATAGTGCGACCTTTCCATTGCTTCCCTCTGTCTAAGTCCTTGTGCCAGAAGGTGGAGACTGACATGGACTTGGCCTCAAAGGTCACTACCTCACGACTAAGAGAATCGTATGTAGTGGCAGGGTCTTCGCTCTTTGCGAAGAAATGCCCTCGAAGGGCTTCGGGTATCGCCCGATAGAAGAGGCCGACCAACTGGGTGTCCGTAACCCCATAGTCAGGGACAGCCACTAACTCATCCATTGTACTCTTAAGGGCCCTGACACTTTTCCACTTACGAGAATGGATCGTCTGCAGCCTATCTGAGGCTTTAACACTGCGAGCGACATCAGCAAATCGCTCGCGCAGCAATTTCAGGAATTCGGTGAGGGACGTGAACGAGGAGTACGCAACGGGATCGTCACTACAGTTGGCAGCGCGGACTAGGGACCTTGCAAAACTGGCGGCCTCATCTCTCAGCGCGTGGATCGCAATTAGCACTTGCTGATCCGGGGAGACCTGTTGCAAGTGCACATAGGTCTTAACGTTGGCTTCCCAGTTGTCAAAGTTCTCTTCCCTTTTCCCACTGTAGGAATCAGGGAATTTAACCTTGACCGGTTCCCGACGAGGAGGACGAGCTTCCTCCTCCTTGGGGGTCGCCGCCTTGACGCCCTCAATGGCGCCAGCGCAGAACCGCTCAGTCTTGTCGAGGCGATGGCCCACCTCAGTGCCTATAGCGCCTACCAACTCTCGAGCAAAGTCCCGGAATCCCAAATTTATCGAACACACAGCTATGTGTTGACTCCTGCTAAAGTCATATTGCTCCGCCTGAATTCGTGTCAGGCGTGCAACATTTCGAGCTATGACTCGCATTTGAGCTGGGAGTTCGGTCTGGGCGGCTAGTTGCTCTTCTATATTTTTTACCTCCTCTAATTCTTCTGCCGCCTCCGCTGCCTCTTCCACTCTCCTCTTCTTCTCCCTCATCACTGCCAACTTCCATTCCATCCTCTTTTCATCTTCCATCGCCTGCCGCTTCACAACATCTTTTTCTGCTTCCCAAGCTCTCATAGCGGCTTCCTGATCGTCCTTAGAGATATACATCGCCACCTCTTCTTCTTCGCCCAGGGATAAGTTGGCGACCCACTCTGAGATTCGCTTCTCCATCTCCTCATCCCTGCTGCCACTATACTGCCCCTTCTTCCTTTGTAGTGGCGTTTCATCTTCTTCCTCCTCTTCCACCTCTTTCAACTTCTCTTCCTCTTCTTTCTGTATCCTCTTCTTCTCTCTGGCCATCTCTTCTTCTATCTTCTTCAATTTGGCCGCCTGCTCCTCCTTCAAGGCCTTCTTTTTGGCCTCCTTCTTCGCCTGCCTCTCCTGCAGAATAGCGACTATCTTCGCCTCCTCCTCCTTCGTGTATGGCTTGGTGGAGGCACCACCCCGGGTATCTACTCTACACGTGAAGGTGTGCCAGAACCCCAGAGGAAAGAGGAGACGCCAGAGGGTCCCCCAGAGGGAGAACCCCACAAGCAACCCATACATCGGATAGTCGTCCATCGTGATGTCAGGTGCACGACAAGAGTCACCACTTAGACCTACCCGGACACACAGACCTACTGACTGACTCTCTAAGATCCACTACTCACAACTACTCTAAGCCTGTCACTACTGAACTAACAGCTGATCAGGAGGCATTTAAGGAGATCCCCCAAACTCCGCAAGAATTCTTTAACGTCGCAGTCAGGACGACGTGATCAGCGTAGTTCTTCCTGGCGATTTCAGCCCACAACTCAGCCGTTCCAGCCTACTGTGCCACACCGAGCAGCCCGCCGGTCGGTACCGGTCCTTGGAGGGGTTCGTATCCCTCGGGACAGTCGAGTCGTCAGACACAGATCATCAGCCGTAGTAGGTCCGGTAGGGGAGTGGTTCAACCAGGCCTCAACACTTAAAGACGGCCTTCGTTTCAGCCCACAGCTCGGAGTTCGGACCCTCTACACTGAACCTGAGTAGACCTGCCGGACAGTACCGGTCATTCGGCTTGACGAGTTGTTTAACGAGCGCTCGCCGCTCATGCCCAGGTCTTCAGATGCCAGAGTAGAGATTAGTCCTACTAAGTCTCGTGCAGGTTTGGCAGCAAGGCCCTATCCTTCATCCACAGAGAGCTATCACCTAGGACAGAAGAGACTCAATGCAGAAAGGAAAGACAGACAGACTCAACTTCAGCAAGTACCGTGGGGTAAGTGCACATCCACAGGGTAAGGGGATAGGCTAAGGGCTCAGCAAGATATCACCAGCTCCAGCTTGGTCAAAATCTTGGTCAGCAGCTCCGGTCAACGCCTTGGTCAACGCGGGCAACCCTCAGTCAACGCTTGGTCAACACCTGGTCAACCCTTGGTCAACCCTCTGGTCAACGCCCGGTCAACCCCTCACCTCGGCTATGGCTGCCGGCACCATCACCTTCGTCACCCTCGCCGCTTACTTCCCCTTCCTTCACTCTTCTCCTTCTTCACTTTCTCTGTTTTTTATTTTTTTTTATTTTGCTCACACCCGGCTATGTCCTCCTTCCACACTCTTCTTCTCTCTCCTTAGTCCCTCCTTCTCTGTCCTCCCTATCTCTCTCCTTCGGTGCCCAATGATGAAGCTCCGCGGCTATGGCCGCTCTCTTCCTCCCCCGTCCGACAGCGCAGCTCGCCTCACGGGTAAGTGACAACCAACCTTGGATCGCTCATCTCTCTCTCTCTCTCTCTCTCTCTCTCTCTCTCTCTCTCTCTCTC